TCATCTCTGAAATCATAATTAAATGCCTACATGTCTGGATAATCATGAGGCTCGGCTGAAGCTGTTACCATGTGCTGGGTCCTTCCTGTGACCCTCCCTGTATTTTAGATTCTCGATCTTCCCTGGTCCTCATGATCACCCTGGTGTGTGGGGTCCAGGTCACATGGGCTTGTGAGAGTGGGTGGTAACATTTTTAGGAAATTCTGTGAGCAGTGGTTAAACCCTTGGCAGCTTGAAATTGGTCTTGTGGGAGTATTTACACTACAGAAATTGTCAAACACACAAATCAGTGCCTTTTTCCCCTCAGAGATCTGATTTGCCACCATACCACTGTGTGTGTGTGTGTGTGTGTGTGTGTGTGTGTGTTCGACCCATTTATAGATGAAGATACTAAGGTTCAGAAAAGTTAAATTATTGTCCCAAATCAACCAACTTAGTAAGTGGCAGATCTGACCTTAGAATCCCACAGCCCACACCCCTGGCCTCTGTGCCATTCTATCAAAGAGAAAACATGTAAAAGGAGTTTCATAAACAGGCAAAGCTGCATAAATATCGATTCCAAAGGTTGATACAGAAGAAGAAAGAAACCTTCCCCTTTCTGTCTGGGCACTGCTTGTCCACATAAGCTGCTCACAAGTACCTGGTCATGTCTCTCCTCCCCTCTTCCCACCCCCATAGATTTTCTAGTCATCCTTGTGTAAGTACATTATTCTCAAGAAGTTATTCTTTTCTCTGTTCATTTCTTCTGCTTCTCAGCATCCTGCTCTCCCTTGTTTACCATCCGCCTTCCGGAATCCGCCTCTGCTGTTTCCCATTTCACTCTCTGTCCCGCCCCCATCTTGGCAGTGAGGAAGTCAGAATAGAAGCCGCCTGTTGCCGCCCCCTTTTATCAGAATCTGAGCCCAGAACTAATCGTGCCCCACAAGTCTGCAACAATTACTAGTGTTCCTCCTTCACGGGTGACAGAGGGTCCAGACGCCCCATCCTCCGATCGCTTCCCTTGTTCTCTGACACCCAGCAGAAACCACACGTTCCATTTGATGGTCGTCACAAATAACATGCTTAAGAAACCTGGAATTATAAAACTGCTTAATTAGGGAGAGATGGTTTCACTGGGATATGCCCAGTTTTCCCTGGTGGTTTGATCTCCTTCTCAGAGTGGCCCGCCCTACTGCAGCAGCTAATTGCTACTTTTAGCATGGTGCCACATAGACACTCTCTCCTTTAATTTTATTTTCTGTGACATCAGGGCTTGGTTATAAAATGGAGTTCTCTCTGTGATATTCCAACTCTCCTTTGTCAGCAGCAAACTCTAAAAAGTTAACATGAGGAGTAAGCAGGGAATCTTTAGCTTCCGGAGGCCTCAGTTATTAAATGAGCACCTACCATGGGGCTAGATGCTGGGAAAATGCCCAGAACCAAATAGTCTCCTGTGTGGGGCTCATGTTCCATTGGGAGAGACAGATAGTAAAATAAATGTTTAGAGAAATCCTCTAAAGGAAGTAGGGAGAAGCAAGGGAGTCTCATTGGATGAAAAAAAGGAAGGAAGGAAGAAAAAAATGGATGGATGGTTGGACAAATGGCTGAACAAGTGGCTGGATGTGAGGAAGGGAGGAAAAGAAGAAAAACAGGAAAATTCTGGGTGTGCACTGAATCCAGGGAGGAGAGGCATAAACAGGTTAAGGCTGGAAATTGGAGAGAATCGGTGGTTGGTCCAGGATGAGGTAGAACACATAAGAGGCGAGAGATCCTAGGTGAGAACAGTTTGGAAGACATGAAGAAATGGGGCAGCTGAAGCTGGGTGATTCTGAAATACAAAGTTCAAAACATGGGTGTTCTGCAGAGCTGGGGGCCTACTGTTGGGCTGTGGACAAGGTATGGCAGTCCTTGCCCTCCATGGAGCTGCTGTAGCATTGGTCCGGTATCCATCACGCCATTGGCCATGGAAAACAAATATGGCAGCCATCACACACATCTCTGTTCCTTCAACTCCTCCACCTTCCAGAAGTTCCAGGAAGAAACAAGCATTTCCCTCTGGGGATGTTTCTGGGCATGAGGGACTGGCAGGAGTCAGGAGGGCTAAGGCAGTCCCTTTGGGAAACAGTGACCTCACAACAGAGTGGCAGCAAAATGGTCGCAGAGGGTGAAGGGCAGTGTGACTGGCTGCCCCTCCTTGACAGCTGCTATGCACACATCTGCTTCACAGGGTCCCCTCCTCAGTGGCCCGGGGCGAGGCATCAAGGTGAAGGTAAAAGCTCTAGCCGCATGCCACATACCATCTATTTGGTGGATAGTCACATGTTTTAGAACCATTTTCTCTCTAACTTGAATAAATAACATGGTAGGTACAAAAAAAATTGAAAAAAGGAGAAAAACACAAAGACAATGAATATTTTTTACATTCACCATTTTTTCCCACTTGGGACTATAAAAGGAGGATTTCTAGATAAACTTGAGCAGGATGATTTAGTCCTCCCTCCCTCCTTCCTTCCTGCATGTAGTGCTGGGGAATGAACCCAAGGAGTGCTGAGATACCCACCTTCTGCCCTTTAAAAATTTTTTTAAAATTTTTATTTTGAGACAGGGTCTCACTAAGTTGCCCAAGCTGTCCTTGAACTGGAAATCCTCTTGCCTCAGCCTCCAGAGTAGCTGGGATTACAAAATGTGCCACTACTCCTGACTTCTTTTTAAACTTTTAATTTGGAATAATTTTACACTTAAAGAAAGTGGCAAACAGTGTACCGAGTGTCAGCAGACACTACATCTTCATCCAGCTTCCCCTGATGTAACCATAATTGCAGCCAGGAAATTAACATGGATGCTGTGATTACAAGGCAAACTCCAGCTTATTGATGCTGCCAGTTACCCCACTAACATCTCTGTCCTAGTCCAGGGTGGAGTCCAAGATCTCACTTTGCATTCACTTGTCACACCACCACCCCCAGTCCAGTCCCATCTGATAATCCCTTGGACTCTCCTTTCACTTTGACCCAAGATAATTTTGAAGAGTGCTGGACAGTTATTTTGTGAGCCTCATTTGTATTTGTCTCTGGCTTTCTGATGATTAAACTAAGGTTATGAGATTTTGGCCAGGATATCACCATAGTGATGCTGCTGCCTTCTTCTCTGTATCGTATCAGAGAGTTCGGGGTGTTGCTAAGACTTATTTTGGAGATTCAAACCTTGATCGCCCAGCTCATGGGGTGTGCAGTTGACATGGTATGTGTTTATTTTCTTTACCATAAAGTTGCTATTTTGGAGGATAATTTTTAATGCCTAAAGGGCTCTCCAGTCTAGATCTCTAACCTAAATACACCCTCTTTTTCTTTTTTTTTTTTTTTTGGTACCGGGGATCGAACTCAGGTCCTTGCACTTCCACAGCAGGCAGCGAAACCACTGAGCTAAATCCCCGGCCCTACACACCTTCTTTTTTGTGCATTTAGTTTGTGACTTTCTGGGTTATCATAAAGAACACTACAGTGGCCTTTCTTATTGATACATGTTTGTGCATATCCTTAATTATTTTATTAGTCAACTCACTGGAGCAAAATTTACTCACATTTTTAAGGTTGTGGATGCCAAGGGCAGGATTATATTTTTGTTTGTGTATTTCTTTGTTTTAATCAGATTTATCAAAGTCTCATTTAAATATAATAAAATGCACAGATTCGGAGCAGATATTTCAGTGAGTTCTGGCAGAAGTGCAGACCCATGGAATCACCATCCTAATTGAGATATTGAATTTTTCTACCACTTCCCAAAATTCTCTGATGCCCTCTGCATTAATCTTCCCACCCTTTACCCCATGAAGCCACCAGTCTGATTTCTATCACTCCATGTTAGTTTTGCCTGTTCTTGGGCTCCAGACAAATCAGAATTACACAATATATAGCGTTTTACAATTGTCTTCTTTGATGTGACATAACGTCTGTGCGATTCATCCACACTGCTGCAAATACTGGCCATTTGTTGATTATTATTGCTGAGTAGTATCCTATTGCATAAATATTGCCAGAATTTGTTTATCCATTCTTCCATTGATGGACATTTGGGCTGTTTCCAGTCCGAAGATTTCATGAATAAAGCTGCTAAGAACATTTCCATACATGTGGACATATGTTTCCATTTCTCTAGGGTAAATACCTCAGCATGGAATTACAGGGTCAGGAGGTAGGTTTGTGTTGACCTTGATTAGACACGACAAGATGGGGTTGTTCTCATCTCCATTTTCTAGCACCAGCTGCAGGAAGCTTGCAGGACTTATCCAAGGGTAGAAGGAGAAGGGGAGTACAATAGGACTTGGGGCCAAGCATAACGCTGGGTGCGTCTCCAATCATCTGCTTCAGTTCCTCAGAGCAAATTCACAGTGGGGGGAATGGGACTCCCATTCTGTAGGAGAGAAAACTGAGGCTCACAAATGAGTAGCCAGAGAAGAGTCACACCCAGGTCGGTGGGAATCGCCAGGCCCCTTTTCTCCCCTCAGCCTGCCTCCTGGGAGACTGCAGGTGATGGATGGAGGTGGGAAGGTTGAGCAGCTCCCTGCTCTCAACCTCCTTGCCTGTGTTACCTGTACCAGGTGCCCTCCTGCCCAGGTCCCTGGGGGCAGTAACCTGTGATACCTGAGTCAGCTGTCTAGGACAGTCTTCCAGAGAGGCAGCGACTGTCCCCCGTTTCACTTTGAGCCCTCCAAGCCTCGGCAAGAACCAGAGAGTGACCACACTCCAGCCCTGGGGCAGAAGTGTAGGGTTTCTCCCTCCCTGAAACCTGATCCTGGGTGCTTTGATCTTCTGGGCTGGTGGGTATTGGGTGAGGATGTTGGGCAGGGGCCGTGTCTCCCTGGCCATATCGGGCCCCATTAAAGCTGGCCTGAGTGCTTTCCAAAGCTGATTAATGGCCTGCCTCTGACCTGGAATGTCATTACTGCTGGGCTGAGGGCCCCCCAGCCTGGTCCTTTGGGTCTTTACTGCTAATAATAATTGATGCTCTTTGTGTGGTTGCAGGGAAAGTTCTATCTGGTCATCGAGGAGCTGAGCCAGCTGTTCCGATCACTTGTCCCCATCCAGCTGTGGTACAAATACATCATGGGTGACGACTCCTCCAACAGCTATTTCCTGGGAGGGGTCCTGATCATTCTCTACAGCCTCTGCAAGGTGAGGTGGCCCCGGGGCTGGAGAGCTGGCCAGCAGAAGGTTGCATGCCCTAGCCAGGCCTGGAATAACTATGCCATAGTCATTTCTGCTCTTTTTTCTTTTCTTTTCTTTCCTTTCCCCTTTTTTTTTCTTTTTAAGATAGAGTCTCACTAAATTTCCCTGGCTGAGCTTGAACTTTCAATCCTCCTGCCTCAGCCTCCCAGTCTAATTTCTTTTATTTGTAAATTGGGATAAAATTCACACAACGTACAATTAACTGCTAACCGTTTTGAAGTGTACAACTCAGTGGCATTGAGCAGATTCACAGTGTCATGCATCTATCACTTCTACCTACATAGTTCTAAGACACGTTCATCACCCCAAGAAGAAACCTGGTACCCATGAACCAGCCAGTCCCTCAGTTCTTCACCTTCCCCTCCCACCCTGGTAACCACTAAGCTACTTTCTGTCTCCTCAATTCACCTATTTTGGATGCTTCAGATAAATGAAATCTTATAATACATGACTTTTGGTGCCTGGCTTCTTTTACATAACATTTTTGAGGTTCACCCACATTGTAGCATATGTCAGTAATTTTTATGGCTGAATCCACCTCCGTTTCTTGCCTAGGAAGCTCACCATATGGTATCCTTTCACTTAGTCATCTTCACAACAGCCCTTCAACATATATACCATTATCACTCCCATTTTATAGGTGCAGAAACTGAGGCTTAGCGAGATGGAGTTACTTGCCCGAGGTCAGAAATAACAACAGGCGTCAAACCCCATCACACTGCCTCCGAAGTCCAGAACTCTTAACCACCTTGCCATTGAATTTTTTTCCTCTTTCCTATCTCAAAAATATCCCTCTTATGTTCCACACCCTCAACTCCTCAAATCAATATGCAGTGATTTCCTTCTCATTATTAATATAAATTAGGGATTTTTTTCCTCCCCCCAAAATAAATACATCCTCCTTTTGTTTCATGGTCTCTATTTCTGGCTTTAGAAGATTTTAGGGGAATGCGTATGTTGTCTTTCCTTCCTCCCAGCAAGAGTAGCCAGCAGTCCATGTAGTGTCAGGCACCAGAACTTATCCTGTTGGCAATTCTGATCAACCCAGAGTGGCTGACTAGAGTACGGGGTGGAAAAGCATTAGCAAACTCTGTCTGGGATCAGAGGAAGAGTGCTGTGATCAATTAGCAATGCCTGCCCTGGGCTTGGAAAGGGGAAAGTTCAGTATATATGCCATTTACTTGCTCTCCTGGCCTAGGTTATAGGGGAGACTCTTGATACCAGGTAGCAACACACAAGCCAAGCAAAAGTAATACAAATGGGAAGAAGTTTTCTGAAAATGTTCTGCATCCAAAACAGAGGCAGAGTCTGCCAGGGAGATCGATCAAGGGTTGTGGGAGATCCAGAACAATGCTTGGACAATTTTCAGCCATCATTCTGGTCTCTTTTCAGTCATTTGACATCTGTGGCCGTGTGGGTGGAGTCAGGAAAGCCCTGAAGCTTCTCTGCACCTCTCAGGTGAGTTGGTTCCAGGTGGTCCTGAGTCCCCACAACTGGGAGCTGGAAATGGCAGTGGTCCCTTCCTCACCCCTGAGTAACTCACAGTACCCTGAGGCCACAACTATGCTTGTCTTTCCCAAACTCAAACAGAATTATGGTGTCCGAGCCACTGGGCAGCAGTGCACAGAAGCCGGAGATATCTGTGCTATCTGCCAGGCTGAGTTCCGAGAGCCTCTGATTCTCCTGTGCCAGGTAAGCAAGACTGCACTTAGACAGATCCAGGTTCAAAGCTAAGCTCTACTTCTAACTCACTGAGTGGCCTTGGGCAGGTTACTTCGCCTCTCTGAACCTCAGTGTCATCAGTAAAATGTAGAAATGCCAGATTCAGTATGGTTTAGTGTCAGAATACCCTAAGCATGAAACTCAGCTGTATTCTTGACCCTCCATCTCCCCTTGTCATTTTTAAAATGAGCATAGTAATACCTATTTCATAGAGCTGTTACCATGCTTTAGTGAGATCATCTATGGAAAGAGCTAAATTTGAATTATTCAGCCATAGAAGTTGCTAGTATTATATTTATTATTCTCGGTGCAGTTACTATTGCCATTTGTTTTCATATTTGTCAAAGGTCACCAAGCCATGGTGGTAAGTGCTGGTCAGTCCCTTTTAACTCCCTAAATGGGTCCCTCCTCCTCCTCCTGACATCAGGGGCTGGGTGTCAATTCAGCAAATGTGCCTTGGGTCAAAGCATCCTATTAGACAGCGAGAGGGGAAGCAGAGGGCACACAGAGCCTGTCTTCTCCTCTGGAAGCTGGTGGCCTCCTTGGGGAGACAGACACATACATAAATAACCATGAAACAAGGCAGGCGGTGATAAGTGCTGTGCAAGAGAGATTCATGCAGGATCCCGGGGGACCAGGGCAGAGAGCAGTGCGTTCCAGGCTGGGGAGGATTTTTTGGAGGAGGTAGAAGCTCGGAGCCCAGAAGGAATGGAAAGACAGATGGCCTGTCCAACACTCCCTGAAGGTGGGACAGGAGGTGGGGTCCTCTTTTAACATTCAGAAAAACAATGTTTGTTATTATTGTTTGGGGATTTTAGAAGAGTTTGTTTTTAAATTTAATTTTTATTTCTTTTAAAATCAATACTCTTTGCATACATTAAAATTGTCAGAGGAGACTGAGGAGACTAGATAACTAAATGCAGTATGAAACCTGGAACAGAGAAGGGACATTTAAAGTGCTACTTGAGTGAAATCTTAACCAAGCCTGGAGTTAGTTACTAGTAGTGTGTCGCTGTGGGTTTCTTAGCCTTGGTAAATGTACCATAGTAGTGCACAAAGATAATATTAGGGGAAACTGAAACTGGGTGACTTCACTCCTTTTCAGCAAGCCTAAAACTATTCCAAATAGGACTGGGGATTTAGCTCAGTGGTGCCACCACCTGCCTCGACAGCGCAAGGTCCTGAGTTCGATCCCCGATACCAAAAAAAAAATCTATTCCAAATAAAAAGTTTATTTTTTAAAAATTGCAATACATACGAAGAATGGTAACAGGCCTCCTACCCTTGTGCCCCAAGTCTCTAATCTCCCATTTTCCACTGGTGACACACCAGTCTCCTTCATATCTTTCTAGAGGTGTTTTATAGAATTTAAACATATATGTTAAACATGCAACACACACGCATATCTATGTACATGTATATACAAATTACAGGCATACACGCAGAAACTTAAAAAAAAAAAAAAAAAGCATAAGCTGAAGCATATTCTACCCAACCTGCTTTCTGCACCTTTTTTTAACCTGTGACTCTGTCTTAGAGATGCATCCTACTTTATTTTACAGCTGCATTGCATGCCATTTTATGGTTAGAGCAATTGTTTTTCCAGCATTGGGGATTCAACCCAGGTCTTTGCACTGGCTGCATCCCCAGCCCTTTTTATTTTTATTCTTATTTTTTTTTGAGATAGGGTCTTGCTAAATTGCCCAGGTTGGGTTTGAACTTGAGGTCCCCCTGCCTCAGCCTCCCAGAGTGCTGGCATGCCACACCTGTGCCACCATGCCCACCCGATAGACCACAGTTTGCTTAACCATTTCCCTGTAGAGAGCCATTTAGTAGCTCGTAATCTTCTGTCTTTACATAGACGGTTGTCATGAAGACTCTGAAATGTGGAATCAGTCACACCTACCTAAGAGCATTGTGTTGATTAAGTCAATTAGTTTGAGTGAAACATTTAAAGCTACACTGGGCACGTGATGAGAGTTCAATAAATGTCAGCTCTTTGGGGCATGCATGCTTCACCCGTGTGCCAGCTGTTGGTAGGAAGGACTCCTAGCGGTGGGATTGGCGGTCAGAGGGTGTGGAGTTTTGACAGAAACTGCTAAATTGTCTTCCATGAGGAGAGTATCCACTTACATTCCTAGTGTGGAGCATGACATGGCCTCTTGCTCCCTCCCGTACCAGAAGTGTTATGAAGCCTTTTTGAGCTTTGCCAATCTGACAGGTGACAAACGCTATCTCAGTACAGATTTAATTTGCATTTTCCTAATTATGAGCATGGCTGAGCATCTTTTCATACGCTTTGGAGCCATCTGTATTTCCTTCTCGGTTGCAGAGATTATTGGAATATGATGTCAAGGTGAAAGTCTTGCTTCTTTTCTGGCAGTCTCTCTAAGCCTCAATCTGTTCCTCTCTCTTTTATTCTTCTGGTACCACTGTGTCTTTCCACAGCTGGATTAGAAATTATTAGGAGGAGTCAGACAAAACACTATTGTCCCAGATCTAGGAGTGGCAGCCACACCCAGTGGTGGTTGAAAACCATAAACGTCCCCAGGTTGTGCACATTTCTCAGCATTGCTTTGCTGCTGTGAGCTGAGCCTGGAAGGGCCAGGGTGGCTTGCACAGCTGAAAGGAGCACGCTGACTTCTAAATGCACTGAACAAAGGAACAAATGAAAGAATGGCTCAGCTCAAGTGTTACTTCATTGATAAAGTTTCTCCCACCTCTGTTTCCCCAGACTAGTCATGTTCCCACCTACCATGGTTTCATCAATGTCCATGGTTTTCCTTCATAGCACTTTTTCCAGTTGTTAGCTAAATAGTTCACGGGGTAGCTAAGTCATGTAGGGTCTTTCTCCCTCTGCCGCATGACCAGCATCTTAAGAGAGGACACCATGTCTCTCTTATGTGGTAGCAGAACTAGTGTTCAATGGATAAATGGGTGGATTGGATCGGATGGATGAATGGAATGGATTAGAGGATGGAAGGATGGATGGATGGATGGATGGATGGATGGATGGATAGGACAGGGTGGATAGACAAGTAGATTTTTTTTGAGACAGGGTTTCAGTAAGTTGCTTTGTGCACCATCTATGTATGTGTTTTGAAAAGCATAATGTACTGTATCATATCTGCTATTAGTGGTTAGTTCTAAGTCTGGACATGGATAGCCTGGTTTGTGTAGTTATTGAGGATCTGTAGTTATAGGTATGTGTGTGTGTCCTATCTGGTAGTACCCATGTTTTCAGTAATGCCATTTTTCATAATCAGGTGCTTCAAACCTCCCTTCCCCAACCTGCCTGTATGCACAATATACACAGTAGAACATAGTGGACAAGAGTTGTGGCTATAGAGTCGAAAATTGTTTTGTATCAGTTATTGACTGCTGCATAACAAATTATCCCGAAACATAGTGGCTTCAACATTTATGATCTCAGAGTTCTGTGGATCAAGAATCCAGACATGGTAACTGGGCATGGTGGTACACAGCTATAATCTCAGCACTTTGGGAGGCTGAGGCTAGAGGATTGCAAGTTCAAGCCCAGCCTGGGCAGCTTAGCAAGAACTCCCACAACTCCACCTCCCCCCAAAAAGAGGAGAGAGAGGAATACCCCCATTTCCCATCCACAGTTTCTTCTCTCCCCGCTGATCCTACTGGTGCAGCTGCCCAGTTCTCTGAGGAGGAGACTGAGCCCCTGAAGGGCACTGATCAGGTCTTTTTCATCAGAGTATCTCATGAATCTACCTCTGGAGGGGCGTTCATTTCTCAGCAACATTGACAGAGCCCCTGCTCTGTGCCAGCTTGGGGCTGGGCAGTGGGAAGACAGTGGCAACTGTCACCGCCCTCGTGGGGTTCACTGCCCAGAGGTGTTGATGCGTAAGGAATTTGAACAGGGGCTCTCAAAGTGTGGCCAGGGTACCCCTGGGGGTTCTTTTCAGGGGACCTGTGAGATCAAAACTACTTTCATAATAGTACTAAGACATTATTGGCTTTTTTTTTCACTCTAGTTATTTTATGCACATACAGTAGAGTTTCCCAGAGGTCACAAGACCCGGGATGAGGTCATTGCTCTGGCAGCTAATGCAATGCACACTTGTGTATTCCTGGGTTTAAAAAATGTCTCCGTGTCTACTTCTAATATATAAATAGATTTAAGTCACATGAACAAAGCTCTTTGAGGTCTTCAGTGATTTTTTACAAATGTAAAGTGGTCTTAGAACCAAAATTTTTGAGATCTATTGAATTAGAAGTGTGGGAAGCCAAGCATGGTGGTATGAGCTGGTAGTTCCTGCTATATGGGGGGCTGAGGCAGGAAGATTTCTTGAGCCTAGACGTTCAAGACCAGCCTGGACAACATAGCAAAGTCCCATCTCAGAAACAACAAAATAGCAGAGATCCTCCATGAATGTGTGTTGGCTGAGTGAGTAAAAAGCCTACAGATGTAATGACGATGTCTCACTGACCTAACTCAAGCTTAAAGCCTCATGTGAGCCCGGGAGCATGTTGTGTTCTGTTATGTAAGTAACCCATTTCCAGGGCGGCACCGTGAAACCTTACTCATTCATTCAGCAACCACTCGCAGATTAAAACGGCCCCAGACCTCAGAAAACTCTTAATGTAGGGATGAGACATGTGAGTGTGCAGATCACTCAGGAAGTGTGAATGTCTGCAGGTAATTCTAGGGTGTGGGACACCCAATCTTCAGCAGGAGGAGAGTGGTGGAGGCAGGGAGGACAGTCGGTGGGGACATTTGCAAGGCACAGCAGAGGGATGGGCTCAGGGAGCCATCACAGAAAGGGAGGTGTGGTTGCTTGCGGAGTCTTCCAGAAGAAGTAGCATCTGCCCAGCTATGGACAAGATAGGGCGTCCCCGGCAGCTACCACAGCCTGTCCTCGAAGGCCACATGGCCTGTCGGTGACACAGGGAACCAGCACGTGATGAGGCTGAGAGGGAGGAGGCACCACCATGGAAGGCTTAGGTGTCTGCTAGGAATCTGAAAGCTGCTGACCCGGGCTCCCGCCCTTCAGACCCAGGTGGGAATCTAGTATGGTCCTCGGGGCTCTGCATGGCTGCTGTCCCCCCCTCCACACCCCTCCACTGCCTGGCTACTGTCCCATGGCTGACAATGAGTGCCCCAGGCAGCTGTCACCTCAGGGGCTTTGCTCAAGAAGTCTCCAACAGCCTGAAATGATCATCTCCGATTCCTCTCTTCACCATTTAACTCATGAATATCTTTGTGCTTCAAGTGTCCCCACCACCAAGAAGCCATCCCTGATTACCTCCCAGATCAGACCAGTCATCCCTCTGTCACACTCCACCTCCATAGCACCGTGGCGTTCTCCTTAGCACTGTGCTGTCTGCAATTAGGCAGCTGGTGCATACCATACTAGGAATGGGTTTACAAGAAGCTTATAGTCGGGCATGGAGAGACTGATACTACATAATGAGCAGACACGAGGTAGTAACTATTACTTGACAATAGCTAACACAGACCACTTAGGATTTGCCAGGATTTTCAAGTGTCTTCTTTTTTCATCTTTCAGAAAACATTTAGGATTTTTCTTATATTATCATTCTGCCCAAACTTTTTATTGTGGAAAATGTCAAGCCTACAGATATGTTGAAGGCTAGTCAGAGTTACCCCCTTCTATTCTTAACTATTTGCTAGCCCTAGATTCACTCATCATTAGTATGTTGCCACATTTGCCTCTATTTTTTTTTTTTGGAACTGGGGATTGAACTCTGGACCTTGCTCTTTTGAGGCAGATGACAGAACCACTGAGCTAAATCCCTAGCCCCTGCCTCTTCTTGATATAAATTTTTCCCTTGAGTCAGTTTTGGGAGTAAGTTACAGACATTGTGATTCTTTATCCTCAAAACATTTCAGCATGGATCATCCAAGAATAACCACAATTTCACTAGGATGCCCAGGAAATTTAAATAATACAGTATTATCTCATGTATGGTAATCTATTTGAATGATTCCAGTTGCCTTCAAAATGAGCCTTAAAACTAGGGTTTCTCTCCCCTCCGGGATCCAGTCAAGAATCATAGACAGCATTTGGCTATCATGGCTAAGTGGTTTTAAAATGTCAGCCAGGGCCCGGGGATTTAGCTCAGTGGTTCTGCCACTTGCCTCACCAGAGCAAGGACACGATTTCGATCCCCGGTACCAAAAAAAAAAAAAAAATTGCCTAACATGTCAGCCAAACATTTATAGAGGGGCTTACTATCTCCGTTTTACAGATAAGGAAACTGAGGCACAGGGAGGTTTAGTTACTTGTCCAAGCTGTGTAGCCTGAGAGTGGGGAGACCTGTTGGTTTTTATTGTCTCCCTGCCTTTCACTTGAGCCCTGTGTTCTACTCTCCACCCTGCAGGCAAGCAGCTCTTTTTAAGCTGCAAATCATATTAAGTCACTCTTTTGCTCAAACCTCAGCCATGACTCCCTACTTCTCTCTGAATAAAAGCCAGAGTCCTCCTAGTGGCCTGCGAGGCACAATCTGCACCTCCCACCAGCTGTCTGGCCTCATCTCTCTCTCTCACTGCACACTCCTCCTGCTCAGCCACACTCTCCTTGCTGTTCTTCCAGCACACCAGCCACGCGCCAGCTTCCGGGCCTTTGCATGTGCTGACCTTTGACCAGCAGTGCTGTTCCCCCAGCTATTATCAGGGCTTATTCTCCTTTGAGATGTACCCGGGGTCTGAGGGTATAGCTCAATGGTAGAATGACGTTAGCATGCACGAGGCCCTGACTTCAATCCCAGACGCTGGCCCTATTCTCCCCCGACAAAGTTTTACCCCAATACCAGTATCTCAGTGAAGTTGTGCAGGCCTCCTCCCTGCCTTTTCATCCTCATACTGGCTGCTGACGTCCTGTGTTTTTCACCACACCAGTCGAGTCCCCCCTGCAGGGCCAGCTCAGGAGGGCAGGGCCGGGCTCTTTGGTTCCCTTCGGTGGCCATGGGTCCCTGTCCCCGCAGCATGTGTTCTGTGAGGAGTGCCTCTGCCTGTGGCTGGACCGTGAGCGTACCTGCCCTCTCTGCCGCTCAGTCGCCGTGGACACGCTGCGCTGCTGGAAGGACGGGGCCACCTCTGCACACTTCCAAGTGTACTAGGGCCGGACCCCGAGGATGCCCGGCAGACGCCTGAGGGTCATCGTCCTGGGCCCTGCGCTGGGGGCTTCCTGGAAAACAGTCTCCAGTGCTTACGTCAGCCTTTGCCAACTCCAGCCCCGAGGGCAGGCCTGGGCCTTCACCATCACCCTCCACCCCTTCCTCCCGAGTTCTGCGGGACAGTGTGAGCACCCTTCCCCTCCTCGTTCAGACGCGGTCTCCCCCAGGTAGGTAGGTCATCCATCCCCTCTGAGTCAAAGAATCTGTAACACATGAAGTTCCCCGTTCTCCTAATCTACTACTGAGTTGCTAATACTCAGTGCGGCAAATGGGAGGAGCCTGGCCGTCACTCCTTCTCCACATGGCCCAGGCCTGCAGATTAGAGTCACTGTGAAGTCTTTGAAAGTCCAAATGCTGGGTCCGCTGTCCACCTAGAATAACTTAACGGACACGTCACTTAGCATGTGCTAGGCACAGCATGGAGCATCCAGCTTGGACCACTTCTGGTCATCCTCACCAGTCCTGTCACCGAGGTACCCACTTGACAGGTGAGAGACTGAGGCACCCAGTGTGATGGGGTAACTTTCTCCCAGGTCACCCAATTAGTGAGGGAAGTTTCCAGCCAACTTGGGCCTGGTCTGGCATCAGAGTCTGCGGAGGCTGCAGGTGTGGGGCCCAGTAGATCTGGGAGGTTGAAAGCACAGCAGATGATTTTTAATGACTTTGTGGCCTTGCTGGGTACAGTGGCACATGCCTGTAGAGCCAGCACTTGGGAGACTAAGGCAAGACCGAGAGTTTGAAGCCACCTCGGGCTACATGGGAAGATCCTGTGTCAAAGAAAAGAAAGAAAGGAAGGAAGACTGCAGTACAGGGGTCCCTCACTTTGGGTACAGACCACACGAGAATGTGAGCCGTGCACACCAGATTCTGAAATCCGACTGTGGCTGGGCCCCGTGGAAAGACCTGTTCCTTAAAATTCTTTTTCTGGGCTCTGGCTACAGTGTTCAATCCCGTGTGGGTTCAAGAAGTGTCACTTTAGCCCAGATGTGGATATCACTGGGTCTCCCATTGCTGTTTCTTTTCTCCTCTTTTCTCCTTCTGTCCTCTCCCTCACTTGCACCTCAGGCCTGTCAACAGCTTCTGTGGACATGGCTGTCTCCCCTGGGAGCCTTCAGAGCAAAAGGGACAATCCATGTTATGGATTTTTCTTTGAGCCAGGGTGGTAGCGAGGACCACAGTAGGAGCCATGTTTTGCAATCTCTAAGACAAAGCTGTTTGTCTACCCATGCAACTGCTGCTTGGAAATCTGGTATATGATGGCACAGGTGACACAGAAGCCACTGGAATCTTGCCCGCCCTATCCCTCTCCCAATTCTGTTCTGGCACCAGCGGCATTACAGAGAAAGCCTCTGTCTGGCTGGTGAGCAGATTAGCGTACAAGCCCCGAGGATTATAGCGGAGCCTTGCTCCCCCCAGTAGATGCAGGCCATTTGTCCCTGTGTGCCACCATGCCAGGACTTCGTCTTTGGCTTCACATCTTTGGCTCTTTCCTGGTACCCAGCAAGACATCCCTTCCAGGGCAGCATGGCATCTTTCAAGCTCTGTTACTATGGCAATGGCCAGTGATGTTGACAATCCCGCTTGCCTGGATAATCAAGTAGGAAGGGGAAGCAGAAGGAAACATCCCCCTCTTCTCCAAAGGGAAGCAACAGGCACTTCTGCACCTGGTTTTTATCAGAAATTCAGTCTGCCTGCCGATGCTGTCAGGCATGAGGAACTGGAGCTGGACAGGACTTATTCAAGTGTCAGCATGGGACAGAGAAGACGAGCAGTCTGTTGGGAGTCAGACCTGGAGTCCTGACCGCAAACTCTGCGTGACTTTGGGAAGTCACTTTACCTCCTGTCCCATCTCTGTGTGACGAAAGCTGATGTGTTGTTTGCTGGAAGCAAGGAAACTAACATTGTACATTACTGGTGAATACACCAAATGGCTTTGCCAGTTACACCCATGCCACTAAAGGAAATTTTCCCTTAACATTTTGCCAATAGTGAGCCATGCCTCTGACGCTATAAAGAAGGTCACCTGTGGGGGACTTCTGGAGGCAGGTGGGAAGGTTTAGTTTAGAATGTTATTTATTCATTCCCTACCCTCCAGGGAGACTTTGCACCTGGGGGCTTTCTTCTGAGCAGGAAGATTTTCCTTCTGCCCCAGAGGGCAGCAGTGGCTTCAGCAGAGATTTCCAAGCACCAGACTGCACAAATTCCCCAATGCTGGAGTGAAAGCAGCCAAGAGTCCCTGCTGAAACAGAACAATGTCACTGTCCTTTACCCATGTTCCCTGCAACTCATATATTATAAACAGGATTAATCAAGTATCAGGTTCTGCGTGCCCTGCTCTTAATATTTTATGATTCACTGAGTCACAGAGTGGTCAGAAAGAAATAGTCCTGTTCATATAAACAAACCCGAGAGTAATCAATGTGTGGGAATAAGGAATGCATGCTTTGGACTTAGATGTAACAGGCACACCATTTTCCAAAGAAGAGGCTGTGTGGAGCCCCGAGGACATCCCAGCTGCTAAGGAGGAGGATGTGTGACAGTCCTGGAGTCTTTTAATACTTCCGTTCTGGGGCAAACAGCTGCCTTTGGTGTCTTTGTGTCTCCTTAAGTACCTTCTGCCAATAAATGTCATCTGTTGATGGAACTAAGGTTCATGTCTTAATTATCTTGTCACTTCTTGAAGGCAAGTGGAGCAGCTTCAAGTGAAACGAGAAGCAGCACCTGGGGGGGGGGGGTCGTCACGATCTTCTGTCAGTTCCCCCAAAGCAGAGCCTACTGAGGTGCATGTGACTTACTAGGGGCAAGGGAAAGAGTAGGCCAGGGGAGCAGGACAAACTAGACAGCAACTTCTGGGGACCTCCAGCTTCACCTCCATCCCCAGGGGAGCTCCACAGAAATACACCAGCCAATCCTCGGCTCTGGGTTGATGGGGGTGGGACGGGCATTTCAGGCTCTCCACTGAGGAGGCCCCTGTGTCCAAGGAGAGACCCCTGGGGACCTCAGGTGCCAACGAGGCCCACAGCTATAGGATGGGAATACAGAATTAGGAGGAGGCATGAGGAAGGCCTCAGAGGGGCACCCACACTGGGGCTGCCTATCAGTTGTATGGGACCAATACAGGCTGATTCAAGAAGGATTTGCCTGGGTGCCAGATTATGATGGATATTTAGGTATAAATTATTAGCATTAGTTGAGGATTCTGTGCCTCTCAGCAGCATGGTGATATCTGCCACAAAAACATCATCTGACAAAACGTTTTGGTTGCCATTGTTAGGAAACCAATTTTAAAATGGCTTAAATATTAAAAGGGCTTTATTTGGTTCATGTGATCCTATGGGCTTCAGCTATAGCTGGATCCAGTGATGCTGTGGAATTCTATGTCTCCATCCCTCAATTCTGTCTTCCTTTGAGACAGCTGGGTCACACATGGTGGTAAGAGGGCCCTGCAGCTCGATGCTTATCTTCCAATAGCTTCGTGACCTTAACAAAGACAGCTTTTACATCCCCAAAGCTCAAGCCAGCATCCTAAGGCTGTCATTTATTTGTCTTCAGACCAATTACTATAGTCTGTGGGGTGTGAAGTGTTGGTCTGGATCAGGTGTTGAGCCTTGGAGGTGAGGATGGGGAAGAGTGGGAGGCTGATATCAGCCCCTCTAAGTCACCTGGACTGGGCTGGATCTCCAAAGGAAAAGGGAAGCTCTGTTATCTAGAAACCCAACTGGCCCTGTCCCACCATTCTCAGGAAGAGACTTGAACCTGTTCTCCCAATGTATCCCAGACCAAGAAAATGCAGGGGAAAGAGCCCAACCAGAGTGACCGATTTGCCCATAATTGGGGGCATCAACCCACAGACTCATTTACTTATCCATATGCTGTGCATAAAGCATGGTGTTGGGCCCTGACTTCAGCACTTCCTCCAAACCTGTTGCCCACCCCAGAGGCACCATTTCAGTCACCCCTTCCCTTGAGGGGTTCTCAGGACTTAGTGAAGGCAGTAAGTGGGTGGCCCTCTGTTGAAGGGAAGGTTGGGGTGTGGAGGACCCAAGATTCTGTATCAGTGGTACAGCCAGACTGTCCTATGGTCTTTGAGGCCCAGCCTTCCAAGCGGAAATGAAGACATGAAAGCCTTTGGCTAGAAGTGCACAACCAATTTTTTAATAAAATCATTACAAATATGTACAAAGCATTTCCAAGGTATGAAATTCCTCTTACAAAAGAGCACAATGAACCAACAACGTCAGAACCCAGAACGGAATGTCCCCAAGCTTATTGCCTCTCTGGCTGGGCCAGGGGCCCCACCGAGGTTCCAGATACCCTCACGGTCATTCCTGCCAAGCACAAGGGCTCCTTGGTGCTTACAGTGCAAAAGACCTAGGGGGAAGAACTTGAGGGCTCGCATGGGAGAGAAAGCAGGGGGCCAATAAGAAAAGCTTCCCACCCATGCAATGGTCAGACCCTGTTTACAAATTAGATGTTCCTGCCCCAGACCTTATCAAAACCAGGAACACAAAGGGTACGGAGTGAGTCCATTAAATCCCCCACTAAACCATCAGCTTGCTCTCGAGTGTCCTCAAATGTGACACTCTTTCCATGGGGCCTAAGTCAGGCTCCCAGCTACCTCCTAGGCCATCCATATGTACTTGCCCTTGAGCTAGCAGTGTTTGCCCTTGACCCAGCAAGGCTGTGGCCCACCTCAAAAGAGACCCAGTATGGCAGAGCCGGTAGCTCATGTGCTTGGGGAGGTCACACAGAATTGGATCCCAACTTTGGCTGAGCCACTTCATTGTTTGGGCAGCCTTAGGCCACACTGCTTAAGCTCTCAGAGCCTCAGCTGTCAAATGGGACTAACAGTACAATCAGCTAGAGTGGGTGTGCAGAATCGCAAGGGAGCAGATGTGCAAAGCACTTTCCACAGTGCTCAGCAATGGCCGCTCCGGAAGGGGGAGGTTTGATCACTGAATAAAGCAGCAAGGACCAGTCTGCATGCTAGGAATGAGTTGAGAGTGAGAGCTTCTTAATTACCATCAGCTGATAGCGTGGCACATGATAAATACTATATAACAATCTGCCAGCAAGGCTTGGGGTCACAGTGGTGACCTGACAAATCTTGAAAATTTGTGAACTAGACTGGAAAGGGACATTTCACATCGTCTTGTTCCAAGCAGGACTGCCCCTTCACGATCAGTAAGTCAGTCTCTTCTGAGATGGAGTTCTACAGCCTGGCACACTGTAGAGGCTCAATAAATATGTGTTGAGTGAATTGGTTAAAATTTTAAAAATAAACTTTCAGCTTAAACTTTAAAATGACACTTTGACATCAGCTTCCTCCCTCCACGGAGCTTCTCCATGTGGCTCCCATGGGACTAACTGGTGTCTAATGTGCCTCCACTCAGACTCCCTAACCAACTTCTATCCTCTGATTCTCTTGGGTTGACTTAAGGGAATTTTCAGAAAAGAATCTGAGATCAACACAGAACAACAAAATCGGTGTTCTGGTCACTGCAGCCTCTAACACCAACTGGACACTCAAAAGTCCACAGTGCTGATCCATTGTCCCCAAAAGATGCTTGTGTAGGAGGAGGATGCATGGAGACTCTCTCAGTCAGTTTCCCAGCAAGGGAGAATGATATTTTGTCAATGTCAAAAATATGACGAGAGGACTACATGAGATCAGCTACATAAATTGTAAAACTAGTCACAGCTTCATTGTTCTGTGACAGTATTGTTTAAATCACCATTTTCCCCGTATCAAAATAGAAAAGAAACAAAAGGAGACCACTGAAAGATGTGGAAAAGAAATTTCCAGTATGCCAATAAAGGGGAGATGGGGATGGGAATAGGAATTGTCTTTAGGAGACGCCACTGCCCTAGGACCATGGACAGCGGCCAGCGAGGTTGAGGGACTCCCCAAGAAATTTACTCAAACTACATCTGTGACAAAGGGAATAGGAAATGGAACCCCAGATTTGAAGAGCTGATGTTTGTGGGGGATGGGGTGCAGGAGAGAAGCTTCCAGAAGGGAATAGATCTTATCTGGAAGGCTTGGGGTCCCACGCAGCTTCAGTCCCTAAGGCTCCCGGACCCCCACCCTCTAAGAGCAAGCAGCACCATCAGAAATGAGGAGAGAGGGCCCCTCACCTCATTATGCAGCCAGCTACCTAAGCGATGATCTCAGAGGCCGCCTTCTGCTTTACACGGATACACACACACATACACACACGCACCCATGCACACACTGCTGTCTGCTGAAACCTGATATGAGGTCTTTTTTAAAATTTATTTCAAAGCCTCCCTCCCTCCCTCTCTCTGTCTCTCTTCACAGCCTCTCTGCAGTGAAGCTAATCAAAATCAATGACTCCTTGGCAGCCGGAGGGAAGGGGGGGGATGGTGCCAGCACTTTGCACACTGGGGAAATCTTTTTCTAAAAAATACACACAAAAAAGATCCATCCCACTATCTCATGCAATCCAAGTAATGCAACAGGAGAGATGGTGGAGACAATATATACATATATATCATGCTTCAATCTTCTAATACAAATGTCCATCAAGAAGTCAAATCTCATATAAAAACAAGCATTAAAAACAACCCCTTGTCAAAAATCGGGGCAGTGGAGAAGTGCACTCAAATTAATGATATGCAAGAAAAGGCCAGGATTTGATAAATACATGGTTTCTAATAATACATGAGAATATGTACAAGGGACTTGGCTGGAAAGCTCCACCGGGAGGCCATGGGTACCCAGTTCTCTCAGCAATGTGGCTTCATTGAAATCAAAATTGCCCCAAATGCCAACCCTAGCGTTTGGAGTTTGATCCTCCAGGGGAAATGTCATAAGCTAGAGGGCAAGTCAGGGTCCTGGGGAAGAAAAATGGGACCCTCTGACCTTTCACCCTTTCCTTGGGTCTCTAGGGGCCAGCACGTCCCCACTTCAATCATAAAGATACAGCCTTAAAGAAGCAGAGAACTCTAAGTGCGCACAACTGTAGTAATGGGAACTGTGTCCCCAGAAAATGGATCAGTAGGACTTTTGTCACTAGCTAGGAAAAGGACAACAATACAAGCAGAGACCATTCCAGTGAGTGTAACCTCTCTAAGTCCCTGACTCTGTGGGCATGTCACCTGCTCCTCTCTGCAGCCCTTGCCTGCTCACTGGTCTCTGCAAACAGCACCTGGGGGAAGGCTCCAGAGATGGGCGAAAGCTTTCCTAAGAAACCAGCTTTCTTTTTTGTTTTTCTGAGTTCAGCTCTGGGGGGTACAAAGTCAAGGGGCGGGGGGTGTTCCCTTGCTTTCAACAGTTCTGGGTCGCATTTTTCTTCAAAGGACTCTTTAGGCAAACATAAGGCATGGATTAAAAAACAGAAGAAAAAGAAAGAAATCCAGCTCTCAGCTTGCTGCAACCCTTACAGGTTGTGTAGACTTGAGGACCTCGTGGTTTTCAGCGAGGGCTCGTTCCCCTTTCAGCCCCCTGTACTGTAACAACCCCTGCTCCTGCTGCTGGCTTCTTAAACAAGGGATGTCTGCTACCCAGCCCAGCAGGCTCCTTGTCCCTAGGCACTGGCTGGTGACCTGCAAAGTCAGCCTTGTAGACTGTCTCTGCATCTCCAGCCCCATGCCTCACCATCTCAGCCTTGAAAATGGCAGTTACTGTGTGTGACACTCTGCCTGCAGAGAAATAATACCTGGTTTTCTTCGATTTTTAAAAACGAAAGCAAAAAATAATTGTGGCTCCCGAAGAGTCTTTGCAGCCAAGTCTCAGTCCAGCACACGTCTTTTTTTAGCCCTTCTAGAAACTTCTGAAAATAGTAGCTTATGGTGGGGGGTTGGACCTCTGACAGTCAGTGAGATGTTGGTACACTGCATCTAAATGGCCCTCTCCCTCTCCCAATGTCCCTTGCTTATAAATCACTCTCCAACAGAACGTAGCCATTTCTTGGCTCTTTAACCCATAAAACCTAAGCCCTGAAATCCCTTTGGGGAGCAGGGGAGGCCATGGGCTGGACTCCCAGGATACTTCTGCAGGGGCAGAGGGGACAGCAACCCATCCGCTGCACACAAGGTCAGCTTTTCATCTCCTCACCAGCTAGCCCCTCTCCTCGTCCCTCCCAGACTCTAGGGTTTGCTTCCCAACACCTCTGGGCATTCACCCCCACATAAAGAAAGAGAAGAGACTCTTAAGTGGCACTTTTGCGAATCATCCCTTTAAAAAAAACTGTGAAACAGCAAAATAGAAAACTCTCTCGTCCCCCTGGCCTTCCAAGTCTGTCAATAGAGGACCACGGCAGCGCCAGGAAAAACACACTAGCACCAGAAAAATTGAAAGGGAAGCACCAGAGACACCAGATTGGTAGGAGGGGGAAAAATCCCCATTTCTCTGGCTGTGACAGTGGGATCTAGCAATCTATCTTGATGAGGACAGAGAGGCTAGGACATGTCAAGAAATGGCGGTATCCCAGAATGCCCCTACAGAGTTGGCCCCAAGTCCTCGCTTACTTGTTCTCTCTTTTGCAATTTTACCTCTTATTCCACCAGCATCTATGCCTGGGCAATTGGTAGATGCTGAGGCTAATCCCCACCAGTCTTTGCAAATTTCCTAGATACACAGCAGCAGGCATCTCTCTTCTGGTGCCCCAAACATTACAAAGTATCAGAGTTCACATCTCAAGGTGCAGAAAGGGAAGGGACCACGTCCTCGACAAGGCATGCACTGATACGTAATATTCATATTTTCTCTTTTTGTTGTATATATAGAGCTATATGGGAATAGCATTGGGATGTCTGTTTCTGCAGCTGGCTTTCCCAAGGGCTTCCCCAGTCCCCTTCTGTGTTTCTACTATCTCTCCAGGTGCCGTCTTTATCTTCCACTTCCTTCTCGAAGTGCCAACCGCGGCATTTCAAGCTCTGGGCTCCCCCTCAGGAAACCGGGAACCAGCTTTCTCCAAGGACACAGGGTTTCGCCAACCTGCAAAAATCAAGATGTATATTTTGGTCAGTGTGGACAGCTGCTAGGGTGACATCAGAGCCATGGGCCTCTGCACAGACAGCCTGGGGTTGGGGACAGGAGCTGCTAGGTTTTCTGACTTTGGAAACATTTCCCCAAATCTAAGCTAATGCTCCCCATCCCCTAGAAGTAGCAGCTTTCCCTATATGGACATTTGCGCGCGCGCACACACACACACACACACACACACACACACACACACACCTCAGTTTTCAGACTTAGGTATTTAGACTGCCGTCTTCTGAGATTTTTTTTAGAGCTATGTTGACTTTTTGCTCCTCCAATTTAGGAACAAAACCTTTTTTCATCTATTCATTTCATAGTATTCATATTCAAAGCAGAGTTGCAGACAGTCTCTGCTCTTAGTTTTCTCATTCATGCATGCATGCATTCATTCCCATGCACCATACTAGGTGCTATACAGCTAATGTCTTAATTCTTGCCCTCAAAGGGCTCAGGGGCCAACAGCTGCAGACAGGGAGAAATTGGTAATGCAAACTTGCTTGAAGAGCAGGCGTGAGCTGGGGAAGTATGGGCAGTGGGTGCCCAAGGGAACGGCAGCTCATGAGGGAAAAAGGGAGCCAGAGAAAGCTTCTCAGAGAAAGGGCCAAGTCCCTGCTGAGAAGTGAAGGATGCCAAGGAACTAACCAAAATAAGATGTGTACTCCAGGCAGGGCAGGAAAAATAGCACATACCCAAGACCGTCAAAAACATACATCCACAAAAACTTGCACGCACACAGATGTTCATAGCAGTATCAATCATAATCACCCAAAAGTGGAAACAACCCTGACGTTCCAGATGATTAATGGATAAAGACTATCCATGCAGTGGAATATTACTTGGAATGAGATACTACGGATACCTGCTGTAAGACAGATGAACCTTGAAAACATTATGCTAAGTGAAAGAAGCCAGATCCCAAAGGACAATTATTATATTATTCTGTTTATATGAAATGTCCACAAAAGACAGTCCTTTAAGATGGGAAGTTGAATGATGGTTACTTACATATGAGGAAATGGGAAGAACTGGGGAGTAGCTGTTAATGGGTACAGAGATTCTTTTAAGGAAATGAAAATGTTCCAAAATTCATAATGGCACAATAAATATACTAAAATATGGAATATATTACAAAATAAAAAACACTGACTTGTACACTTTGAAAGAATGGACTTTATGGTTACAAGTTAGCAGGGGAGATTAGAAAAACATTTCACACATTCCTCTGAAACAGGTGGTATAGGAAGCTCCATGTAAGTAATACAAACTAAATAGCATAGGAGAGAAAGTGGGATATCTCTTTATTACTCCCGGGTGGCAAAGTATCCCGGATGTTGACTTTTAAGGCCTGAGCCACCAGTTTGCTTGGCCTCTGGGTTCCTGCTGGGCTTGGCCAATGGGAAGAACAAATGGAAAGTAAGATCCTGGATATTTATTCCCCAGCTATTTCCCTGCTAGTCACGGATTGGGCACAGCACCTGCCAGATAGCTACAGCCTCTCTCCCACCTCCCCTCTGTTGCAAACCCTGGGGTGCTGCACTGTCCCTTACTGCTCTCCTAAACCCTGTCCACATCTTTACCCTTGAACCCTCACGAAACTCTCCTCTGGTGACTCAGTTTAGGGCTACCCTCTGCCTCTTACTTGGACACTGATTAATAATCTGACTGCATGGAAGAGATGGATCATAAACACATGGTCCCCCACAAGCTACATTAGGTGACAGTCACAAGGATCCAAATCAGTGACTACAAAGCTTTTCATACTGACCTGCTGAGATAAGGACAAAAGACAGCTGCAGCCTGCCCATCTCCAAGTCCCCTGCCACCCTTTGAGGGCACTGCTGTGTGGCCCCCTCTGTTTCCAAAGAAGACTGAATTTGAGTCATCAGTCAACTCGGCTGATATACACACTTGATTTAGCTTATGAAATCAACTTTTCAAACCCCTAAAAAAAAATCCCACTTAGTTGGTTTCTAGCCACAAATCTACAGAGTGAAGGTCAGCAGACTCCTGCAGCATTAGTCTGTAACAATATGCTGCCTTAAAGACAGGTACAAACATGAGGGATAGGGGCCAGGGATGTAGCTCAGCGGCACAGCACCTGCCTGGCAAGTGCGAGGTCCTAAATCCAATCCCTGGTACAAAAAAAAGAAAAGAGGGATGGTAGCCAGGCATGGTAGCACATGCCTATAAGCCCAGCATTCTGGAAGGGTCAGGCAGGAGGATCGCAAATTTAAGCTCAGCCTGGGCAACTTAGCAACTTAATGAGACCATATCTCGAAAGAAAAAAGAAAGGGCCAGGGATGTAGCTCAGGGGTGCCACGCCTGCCTGGCAAGCACAAGGTCCTGAGTTTGATCCCCAGTACTGCAAAAAAAGAAAAGAGGGGAGAAGGGAGAGGGGAGAGGGGAGGGAAGAAGGAAGGGAGAAAGGGAGAAAGAGAGAAAGAGAGAAAAAGAAAAGAAAGGAAGGAAGGGAGGAAGGAAGGAAGGGCTGGAGTTGTAAATCAGTGTGAAGGCCTTGGGTTCAATCCCCAGTACGGCAAAAGGATGTTTATTGAGCACCTACTACTTGCTATTCAATGTGCTGGCTGTGTGCCATACATCGTTCTCCCTACTGGAGAAGGCCAAGTGCCAGCCCTCAATTTTCTTTCAGTCTTTTGGAGAAGACATGACAAGCAGATGCCAATACTGGAAATGACCATTGTCCCAAGGTGTATTTCTAGCCCAGAAGTCAGGGTGGGACTCCATTCAACAGTGAAGTTTTGGAGAGGGCGTGGGGTTTTCATGGGGACTTCTCATTTTTGTCCATACTTGGACATAAAGAGGGATCACTGAGGTGAGAAAGGGGTTACACAAGGTGGAGGGGAGTGACGAATGTGACTCCGAAAACCATGAGGGGTGAGAAACCGTATCGGAAAGTCATAGGAACCGAGCTGGAGGCAGATAAGTTGAGCACAGATGATGAAGTGGAAACAGCAGCTTCAGGAGAGATGGGAGAAACTTTTTTTAAAGCTATGGTCAACTGCGTTCACAAAAGGAAAAGGAATGGGATTTTCTTCCAAAACTAGGTGAATGCAGCAACTGATTTCACTTTTCTACCTGTGTCGTTGAACTCGCCATGAATCTAAGTTAGCTAGATTTCCACTACTATAACAAAATACTTGCAATAATCAACCAAGAGAAAAGATTTCCTTTGGCTCACAGATTTGGAGACTTCAGTCCCTGATCAGCTGGCCTTGTTGCCTTGGGGCCTGTGGTGAGGCAGGAGGAGGTCAAGGCCAGAAGCACAGCTGTGGCAGAGCGGAGCTGCTTGCTCACCTCATGGAGAACAGGAAGGAGTGAGGAGAGGAAGGGGCTGGGTCCCCCTCTCCCCTCTCACTAGGCCTTGCCCCATAAAGGTTCCACCACCTTCACCAATAGCACCACAGGCTGGGGACCAAGCCTGTAACATTAGGGGGTTTGGGGGTCATTTATCCAAACCATAGCCCTGGAGCTGCTACTCTAGAACTCATTTCCTCCTTGGTACAGATTGGGATCTGCAGTCAAGCACAAGCCCCAGAAACACCTTTGCATAGCAAGTGTGTTCTCCACTCCATGGATGCCGTACACCCAGGGCTTCAATCAAAGAGTGGGCTTGTGCACACCCTTCTGGAGGAACCTTAACTTGTGCACATCCTTCTGGTGGATCTGGCCACAGAATTCGTCACACAAGTGTGCCCGAGGATGTCCCCTCCAATAGAAAGAATTAAGAATGTTAAGCACAGGACACGTTCCTACTGCCTAAGGTGAAGGTAAACATTACATACTGCAAAAGTGTCCTAATAAACATTTGCTTTAAAAAAAGAATGTCCCTTCCAGCTTGATCTGTAATAACAGGAGCAATTTGGAAACAACCCATTTGTTCACCAATGGATTGATAAATTATTACACTACATACATATTAGAAAGACAGATATAAATGTGATGAGACAGAATGGCAGCTATGCTTCTTAACTGAAAAAAGAACAAATACCAAAAAGCATGATCCAAAATATTTTTTTCCGTGTGTGTGTGTGTGTGTGTGTGTGTGTGTGTGTGTGTGTAAATTTGGCAGAGAGGCAAGTAGTATAATGGTTGGGCACCAACTCTGGAACCAGATGCTTGAATTTAAATCCTGATTCAGAACATTAAAAGCTGTGTGATCTTGAGTCAGTCATTTAACCTCTCTAGTCCTCAGTTTCCTTAGCTAGAAAAAGAAGACAGGAATAGCACCAATTTCATAGTGTTGAATTATGAGGCTAAAAGTATTAACATGTGCATGACACTCAGAAGCAATGAGACATAACAAGGTCTGCATTTGTTGTTATTGATTCCAGAGAAGTAGATTTAGGGACATAGTAAAAGAGTACCTGGAGTGCTTTATGTACTTAACTTCTGCATCTTTTATTTTACATAATACATGCATATATGTATTTTCTTTCTTTTATAATTTTTTTTTTGTACCAGGGATCGAACTTGGGTCCTTGCTCTTGAGAGGCAGGCGGTGGAACCACTGAGCTAAATCCTCGCCCTCTTTTGTAATTTTTTGAGAGAGGGTCTCACTAGTTGCTAAGTTGTCCAGGCTTGCCTTGAATTTACAATCCTGCATCAGCCTCCCAGAGTGCTGGGATTACAGGTGTGCACCACCTTGCCCAGTTCATCCTCTTTCTTTTTTTTCTTTTCTCTTTTCTTTTCTTCTCTTCTTTCTTTTTTTCTTTCTTTTCTTCTTTTCCTCCCTCCCTCCCTCTCTCCCTTCCTTCCTTCCTTCCTTCCCATCTCTCTCACTTTCTTTCTTAGCAACAAGTAGTAATTGTACAATTTAAAACTATTTTTGAAGCATCAACTCCACACCCTGGGGGAGCCAGTGCTCTGCTCTGGAATGTTCCCTCAAACTTGGCTCATAAAGCACTTTCTCAGATGCTGACTCACAACAAAGCTCA